GCCAAGGGAGGGGACCCTGCCCCTCTACGCAACACTGGGCAGGCCACAGCTGGAGTACTGTGTCCAGTTTTAGGCACCCCACTTCAAGATGGATGTGGACAACCTTGAGAGGGTCCAGAGGAGGGCCACCTGCATGATCCGGGGCAGCAGGGCAGACCCTACAATGAGAGGCTGCGGGACCTGAACCTGTTCAGCCTTCACAAAAGAAGCCTGAGGGGGGACCTGGTGACCAACTATAAACCCACTAGGGGGGACCAGAAGGGTTTGGGGGAGACCTTGTTTCCCCCAGAGCCCCCCGGGATAACAAGAAATAACGGCCACAAGTTGTTGGAGAGTAGGTTTAGATTAGACATCCATAAGAACTACTTCGCAGTCAGGGCGGCTAGGATCTAGAAACAACTTCCGAGAGAAGTGGTGCTGGCTCCTACCCTGGGGGTCTTTAAGAAGCGGCTTGATGCCTACCTGGCTGGGGTCATTTGAGCCCAGTTTTCTTCCTGCCCAGGCAGGGGGTCGGACCTGAAGATCTACAAGGTCCCTTCTGACCCTACCTCTATGATATGAACTCAACTCAAGAAGTGTGACTGCCCGATGACGAGCCAGGGATGGAAGGAATCTAGTTACTGGCTTACATTTCATCATTGCCTCTTGCCCATGAGCAAGCATGGCTCTTGTATAAGTCCATAGAAAAGGATTTTTTTTTTTTAATTATTTGTCCAGGTTAGGAGTAATTGAAGACAGAGGAAACACAAAGCCCCTTTAAGTCTCACTTCTTTCAAGGCATACAGCCAAAAGTTAACTACACAATCCTCACACCTGGAGTCTCAGCATCCCATCATCATCTTAGCTCAGTTGCTTAGAGCGTGGTCGAACAACACCAAGGTCAATAGATTTGATCCTTGTAGAGGACGAGACCTTTCCTGCCTCAGGTGGGGGCTGGGACTGTTTGACCTCTCAAGGTCTCTTTCAGCTCGACTTCAATACGATTTCTACGATCTTTCTCACCCGCCCTCTGAAGCAGAAGAGTGCAGTCGCGCTCATTTCAAAGTCAGGTCACATCAGGTCAGTCCCAAGGCTGCTGAGACCCTTGGGGCACTTGAAATGGGGCTCATTTTAAAGACTAAGAATTAAAGCAGATACAGCCCAGTGTACCTACCACCCCAATTTCAGACACCATTGCGCATACCTACCACCCCAATTTCAGACACCAAGTCTAGCTGCTTGGCCGGCCACAGAATCGGTTGCAGCTGGCCGCCCTGTAGCCTAGGAGCCAGGCTAGTCTAAATCTCATCAGGCACCAAACACAGGGTTACTAACCCTCCAGAATTGGCCGGGAATCTACCCAAGTCGTTGTCAGCCCACAGCCAGTGGGGAGCCCAGGTCACAGCTGTCACGGGGGGGATGGCTTGGCTCTATGCCCGGTGCCAGACTTTTCTTCCCCACAGGGCCAGCACAAGGAGCGCCTCTTATCACGTCCCCAACGTCATGGAGAAAACAGGGAGTCGCGCGGCTGAGGGAGTCTGCCTCGCACCCCCTCCCCCACCGCGGAACCAGCCACTGACTTACCCGCCCGCCTGCTCTGCGCGCTCCTATTGGCTGAGCCCGCCCCCCCG